CAACTATCCCAAAACTGACAGAATTAAATTCATAAAAAAGACAGACTGGGAAGACAAAACCCCCCAAACATAGGTTGCATAATGCTTTATTGACACTAAACTTCTTTAGTGCCAATGAAAAAGGACAAATAGCTGCAGAAAGACACTGGACTACGGAAAAAACTGCTGAACTGAATCAACCAGTACACTTCAAAGATGCACTAACCTCGGTATGGAAGCCTGGACATGTGTTATGTTGGGGTAGGGGTTTTGCATTTATTTCCACAGGAGAAGAAAAACTTTGGATACCATCAAAGATTCGAGTTGAAAAAGACAAACCTCTCGACAAGGACAAGTGACAGGTATTTTATTGAGGTACATCTCATAAACTAAACAGAAACCTCCCAAAGGAAAGGGAAGTATTTTGCTTCTTATCTTCACAGGAAAACTCATCTCCAGAAGTGTAAGAACACTACATGGGTAGATGCTTAAGAAGAGAAGGTAGCTATAACCATCAAACAAAAGGAATGTGCCATATGGTAAAATATGTATTAAATCTATTTCTCTTTACTTTCTTAGTCCCTATTCAACTAAATCAATGCTAGATGTAGAGATGGATTTGGCTTTCCTCCTCTAAAATCCAAGCACGTTGTTTAACTAAACTTTAGAATTTCTGTATTGTATCAAGAAGCCAATTGATATAATACAGAACGAGAGAAGAATTTGGGGACTGTCTTTGTCTTTCTTGGCTCTTTCATAATCATTATTTTTCCATGGTTGCCTTTTCCAGTATGCATATATGTACAAGCAAACATTTCTCTGCTAACATTTATGTTTGAGTCTCACACAGCCAATGAAGACCCACCTGACAGCAATCCCTGGATGCTCCGGAAGGAAATTGGGCCATACCTCCTTGACTGCACTGGATACAACTTACTCTGTTTCAACTGACACTCCGACCAGAGCTTCAGCTACTGACTTCAATCAAGTTGAGGATTTCAAGTGAGATCTTCAATCAAGTAAATCCCATCTAACATGGACTGGATACAATCCATTAGAGACTTTCACTATACTAACATTTTCTTCCTACAGGACCCCACAAGGCTACCGTTGTCCCATTTCAGCAGGAAGTAATTTGGAGGATGCTACACCCCCTTCCCCCATTATTGTCTATTAGGGTAGTGTAAGCCTAGTTAGGGATAACTTACTATTGTTTATGGTTGGGATTGGAAGGAGGTGTTCAGGCTTGAACACCTCTTTTCAGATGTCCTTAGGGTTTAGCAGATGTAGACATAGTTAGGATGTGACATAGCAGATTATGTATCTTCTTGTATTTCATTTTTATGATTGTTAATTTTGGATACTTTACACTGTTAAGCTTTAATCCTCTTTTAGACTAAAAGGGGAATTGTAGGGGACAGTGTAAGCCACGCCTGCTAGAAGCTGGCTACAGGTGTGCCTGACCACACCTGTCAGGGATTGGTCAAGGTGAGGTCAGGATGACTCGTGATAGGTTTTTAAGGGGCTGCAAGGCACATGGGAGCTCCTTCTCTCTGGCCTGCCTGCCTTGCTGCCCCTGGCATGCTCTGGCTTGCATTTGGCTGGTGTTTATCTAAATAAAGATATCTTAACCTTACAGACTACAGATCTTCTCATAATAGATCATCATTTCTCTGACCTTTGTTTTCATTTCCTCCATTTCATGAAAATCTAGAACCTGACATGGGCCCTCATTCTGCAGTAGCAATCTGACCATGGACCTGCCCCCTCAATACTACAGTCTCCTGGAGTCAAGTTCACGGCCACACTACCCTCAAGGCCAGTGCTTTGAGCTTGCTCTCAATGCCACCCTGCCACCACTGTCTGCCCAATCTCATTTATTCTGCCCCAATCCTTTTGTCCTGACTCTGAGACAGTGTGCCACTATGCCCGGCTCTCTTAACTCTTTTCACTTCTCTTTCCTCTGTAAATGTAACTTCATCACCAAACTCCTCTCCTCAATTCCATTCAAGGTCAAAACAGTTATCAGTGTGTCCTTTCTCTGATAAAGGGTTTTCCCAGAGTTTTTTTCCCCTCCCATCTCTGGTAACCAGCTCAAACATCTCAAAGTGTCCACCTAGCCAGCTCCTACCCTGCTGTATCGAGTGAGGCCTGTCCACTTATTTTGTTGTCATTTCTAGACCTGTATTCAGATCTTAAGTTGCCCACCCAATCAGTCATTGTGGTGATTTGAAAATGTATAACCCCCATAAACTTGTGTGTTTGAATGTTTGGTCTACAGTGACTGGCACCATTGGGAAGTGTGGCCTTGTTGGAGGAAGAGTGTTAATGTGGGGGTGGGGCTTTGAGGTCTGAGATGCATTTGCCCAGGCTCAGTGGCTGGCACACAGTGCTTTTCCTGCTACTTGCAGATCAACATACTGAACTCTCAGTTCCTTCTCCAGCATTGTATCTACCTATCTACTGTCATGCTCTCCACTGTGATGATAATGGACTGAACCCCTGAAACTGTAAGCCTTTATAATAGTTGTCATGTTTTCCTTTAAAATAGTTGTCACGGTCATGATGTCTCTTCCCAGCATTAGAAACCCTAAGACAGTCATGTCATTCCTCTTCTTGGCTTCCCCCTCAGATACCACTTCATTTAGTCTTTGAGAAGCTAACCCTCAGAGTCCTGGCAATCGATACACTGGTCTCTCCACCCCTTATTTGTGACTCAATGTAGAATCACCTGCACTGTGAGTTGTCAGAGACTTTTGTCCTATGGTTCAAACCCAGTCTCTAAACCATAGATCTGAAACACCATTTCATGAGTACCCTCTGGCTCTGGAGAAGGGAGGCTGACTCATGCCTGACCAGCTGGAGCTGTTTCCGCTGTACGCCTCATAGGTGGCTTGCTCTAGCTCACTTCTTTCACTAAGGCTAAAACAAAAATAACTCCAGATTACTGAAGCTTATGGAGTATATAAATGCACCTCAGGCTTAGCACTAAAGGGCCCATATTTCAGCTGCCATGGCTTCCACTCTGCAGTTCACATTCTTGCCAAGCTCTTTTACCACACTTCAGTCTTGCACCTCAAATTATGATCTGAAGACCAGAAGCATCAGGGTCACCTTGAATCTTGTCAGAAGGCCAAACACTCTGGCTACCCACCAGATCTGCTGTGGCATTTAGCATCACCTAATTTGTGGGTACTATGAAAACCAGAAATGTGGGTGCCCTACCACAGAAACATTTAGTTTCAAGACTGAGAAAACAGAGAAATAAGGCAAGAGCAGGGACTCCCCCAAGCAGAAGATACTGTCTCTGTGAGTTCATGGGTGTTCCTGGGGGCACCAAGGTCCACTGAGTCTCAAGGCATTCCCAAAGCAGCTCCATGAGGCTACACACACCCATGAAATAAGACAGTTTACTATGAAAAGTTAACAAAACAGGAGTTGAAAATACTATGACATAGCTGGGGAGTGGTGACACATACCTTTAATCCCAGCACTTGGGAGGCAGAGGCAGGTGGATCTCCGTGAGTTTGAGGCCAGACTGATCTACATAGAGTTCCAGGACATCCAGGGCGCCATAGAGAAACTCTGTCTTGAAAAACAAAACCAAAAACCTACAACTCTGTATCTGCATCTAGGAATGATGCCGGATGGGTGACAAGTGGAAGCAGGTTAAATTAGTTCCCAGAGTCCAGGTCAGGACAGCATCTCAGCTTCTGGAGTGACTGGAATTGTGACGTTCCCAGCACTGAGACCGAAGCTGCTTCCCTTCTGATGTGCTAAGACTGTCTGGTGGCAGAAAGGATGGCCTTCCGAAGACCCTGGACTGCCTCAGTGGTCAAGGAGGGAAGTAATGGGGTTGTGAGTTAGTAGTAAGAGGGAAAATGGGAAATGACTAATGGAAAACACCACTGATAGACAATCAGAGAGTTCAACTAAACTCATCAGAAGTGAAACTAGGGGAGGGAGGAGGCAAGGATGACAATGTTTTACATAAGGACAAGTTTCACATATGCCGGAAATTGCTAGCTTTGGTGTTACAATTCCCTGTCTCTGGTTCCATTAATCCATTTTCTAGGAGTCTGGTTACTGCTATGAGAGACAAGAATATTCCAAACCCTCCATCAGCAGCTAACACGGCTCATTTTCTTGTTCTGCATGCTAGAGTTAGTTACTATTCCTGGCCTGGTGGAACAACACTCAAGTTTGTAGGGGCCAGATCCTATGGTAAAGCTCTCCATCTTTTCATCCACAAAATCAAAACTTAAAAGAAACAAAGTACCTCCCTGAGGTCATTAGTGGGGAGCTACATCCAGGCTGAGCAGCCAGACCCACAGGATAAGCTCTTGGCGGCTCCATCACTCAGTAGTGATCAGTAGTCAGATCCAGACACAGAAATGAAAGTGAGGCAATCACGAATCAAGTCAGTCTGGAACTTTGCAGCAAATGGCAGATGTGAAAACACTGCCTCATGCTCAGATTACTCCAAAGTCAATGCCTGGCTAAAGATGATTTTCTTTTCTCTTTGCCTTGGAAGATAAATTCAGGTGATGTGAGCCAGGAATTCTTGTTGGGAAATAAAGATTATGGTAACTTGCCCTAGACAGGGAGATGCAGACATGATAGCAGCCATGACAGTTCTTGGTGTCTGCTTCCCTTGAGATGTGCTCTGGGCTGTATTTTATCCATGGTGTAGTGACTGGAGCTGAAAGTAAAGGCAGAGCTCTCTTCCATTGCCACAACACAGTATCACACTCAGCATTAGCTGACATACCCCAAACTGCCACATTTGACAAAATTCTAAGCAACTCTATGGAGCCTTGTTTCCCTGACAACCACTTCAGTCTACCAGGCCAGATCATATCCAAGGTCATGGATAAGTACGACAGAATGTATGCTTCTCTAGCTTGGTATAAATGGGGATAAAGAAAGAGGTGGCCTATCCAGTATGTCTAACACCACTCTATATTGGATTTACCCAATACATTCCTGCAAACTGCTCAGAAATAAGTTTCAGATCCATGTTCTGTTCAAACAAAGCCTTTACCATTTATTACCAATATAACAAAGTAAAGCCTCATAAAATGACAATCTAGTTATCTGGATTTAATAATACAATCATTTGTTATAATCTATAATACTTCTTGACTTTCTCTTACCATGTGTCTTAAAGATAATTTTTAAGTGTGTGTGTCTGTGTGTTTGTGATGACACATACCTTTAATCCCAATGCTCAAAAGGCAGAGGCAGGCAGATCTCTTAAGGTCAAGGCCAGCCTAGTCTACCTGGTGTAGCAAGTTCCAGGTTAGCTACAGTTACAAAGTAAGACCCTGTTTCCAAAAAAAGAAAGAAAAAGGAAAAAGTGCATGACTCTTTTGGTAACTCTTTAAAAATTACTATATTTCCAGTGATTAGTCAATGTATGTAGGTTTAGAATAGAAGATATCAAATAAATACTGGAAAAAAATACTTTAAATTGAGCTCAACTCAGAGACTGGCAATTTTATTTAAAACTCTGAATCTCCAAAGTTTATTATATATGTCAACAAAACAATGTCACTGTTATGTCATTGTTCTAGGTCCTAACTCAGTATTTCTAGATGGCCTCAGACAAGTGTGACCAGTACTGAACTCCAGTTGATAACATTATCTTTCCTCATCTAACAAAGCATCTGCTCCCAACAGATCTGCCACAGTAAGAAACAATTCCCCGATGCAGTAACAGCATCAACACCACTGTGTCCACACTGAAAACCACACGGCAGTGAGCATCCCATGTCGCTTCCAGTGAATGATGACCAACTTCTCCCAGGAGACAACTGTGGTTGGCAAACTCTGAGGTCACAGAGGCACAAGAGCCTAGTGCCAAGGTGGAGATGGGCAGCAACAGCAGCTGCAGCAGCGTGACAGGCTCTGGTCAGGCACGGTTTCAGGATCCCCTTCCCTTCTGTGGCAAAGCCCTCTGAAGGTTCTGGAGCAGGACTCCACTTGGTCAAAAATGACACCATGTCCCGACAGATCTCCCACTAGGTCTGCTGTGACCATAGGAACCGGTCACACTTCTCAAGCATGCCTTGTATCAGCGCTCTGAAATCCCACAGAAAGAAACAAGCAAATTCAGTTGTCCTAGTTCATCCTTAATAGCAAAGCAAAACTCTACAGACTTAAGAGGATTCAAAACACTGTGAACAAAGACACAGGCTGAAACCAGCAGAGTGGGCTGGGGACATGATCACTCAGGGAATTGCAATGATGTCAGGCAAAGATGAGGCCTCTGGTTCAATGCCCAGTGTTAAGAAAAAAGAAGCAATGTGGAATAGAAGATATATGAAAATCCTACGTGGTAGGAGGCATCTAGATATTTAGATATGGCAGAATTCCACAACTAAACTAGCACCTGATTCTAAAATGGGCAATGAACTTAATTATTTCTCGAAGGGTGATATCAAAGCCAGTAAGCATGAATGTTCATTCAGTATCACTAATTGTTGGAAAACTGCAAACCAATTGAGCAGGTCTAATGCAAAATTCTGAAATATTCTCAAATTCAAATGATTCTGAAACCTGAAATACTTACATTCCCAGGTATATTAGCTATGGCATCCTCAACCTATGCTGTTCTCATTCTACTTAGATGAGGCATCTGGGATGCTCTAAGTCAACAGAAAGTAGAATGATGGTTTCAGGGATATGGGAATGAGGCCTGGTTAACAGCTACAGCACATCAATTCAGAAGAAAACATACTGGAAACTGGCTGCGTAACAACATGCATTCACCAAATAACTAAATGCTCTAGACGGCAATTCTCACATGGATTCCCTTTCTTTTGCTTTTCTTTCTTTCCTTTCTTTAAAGACAGGAAGTTAATGCTATACAGTTCAGGCTGGTCTTGAACCGCTGATCCTCCTGTCTCAAACTCCCCAGAGCTGAAGTTACACATGTGTGCCATCATGCTTCCCTAGGTTTTTGTTGTTTCTACAACATCTATTTTACCACAAATAGAAGAAGAAAAAATTGGCTAAAATAAGTGTGTGTGTGTGTGTGTGTGTGTGTGTGTGTAATAAGTAACAGTTTTACTTGGTGCTTTAAACTGGATATTCAACCCAGGGCTTCATGCATAATAAGTGCTCTATCACTGAGCTACTAGCCCAGCCTCTCTTCAATTTGAGAGACAGGATTTCAGTAAATCCCTTGTATGTCTTTGAACTCATGGGTCTCCAGCCTTGGCCTCCTAAGCAGCAAGCTACAGACCCGAGCTACCAGGCCTGACCAGTATCAATACCATTCATATAGAACTGAGGAAGCATGGTGGTGGGCCCTCACACTAACCCAAAGAGTACCTTGGTCATGGTGATGAATAAATCTCCTCATGTGCTAGTGAAGGCTTGAGACTACATGATCTCTGTACTCCCATCTACCTACCGCTTAAAGTCTGTGCAAGTAACATGCTCAGGCACCACAGACAGTGTATGGCAGGCTGGCATTACCTCTGCCTTCTCTCAGCAATCCTCAGGATGTCACAGGTTCTGGTAAACTTTGCAGATAACTCAAGGGCCAGACCACATTCCTGCAGCAGTGACCAGGCCCGATCTGGGCCCATGGCCTTAGCTAACAGGAGTGCCACATTCTCCACATTGATGGGGGCAGGGCCATCACTGAGGCTCCCATTTAGTGACTCCTGAGGAGTTGGCCTTATGCTCTTGTTCTGTAGTAGATGTAGGAGAAGCTTCCATTCCTCCAAGGTCTCGGGGATCCACCCTGCACACAGAAACACAGAGCATACAGGCTCCATATAAGAAGTGTGAGAACCATAAGAACACTTAACAGCAAAATAAACACATTCAAAAACAGTCTCTTCACTTCAGCACAAACCTTCCAAACACACAGAATTAAAATCATCAAACTTCCTGAATATATATCAAAGAACAAAACAGACACAACATCTACACTCCTATAGCAATCAGGTTAGTAAAGGCCTTAAATAGATAAATAAATCACCTCTGATAAACCATGTTAAATATATGATGGAAAAAATAGGGAACTATAGAACTGCAGGTGCATTTCAGAGGATCTGAGAAAGGTTCTAATGTGCAAGTTACATCCAAGCAAAAGCTAAAGAATGAGACAGGCAGGAGGGCTCATGCACACAGCCTGCATGATATCCAAACTTGGAGCAGGGAAGGGGTCGGGGGAGAGGACTGCATTTCTGACACGGGAGACATGGAAGATGACATGACACAGTAAACAAACAGCTGAGTTCAGGGGATGTCTTAAAAGTCGACAGTGCATAATGGTAAGAGTGTGTAGTGAGGATGCGATGATAGGTCAGGCCCACAGGAACACTTATCAGTATAAATTGTATGAGTTCGGTGCAAGGGCTTTCAGGGAGGAAGCTGCATCACTCAGCTGTTTCAAGACTTAATTTACTGTTTTTTTGTTTTGTTTTGGGTTTTTGTTTTTTTGGGTTTTTTTTTTTTTGTGTGTGTGTGTATGTATATGTGTATGTGTGTAGTGAGAACATGTGTGCTGATGTCCATAGAAGCCAGAAAATGGTGTCCCTGGAACTAGGATTACAGGCAAGTATGATCCACCCAACACTGGGCAATGGGAACCAAACTCTGGTCTTCTGCAAGAACACCATGTGCTCTTCTATCTTAGCCATGTTGCAAGCCCTCTTTTTTCTTTTTTCTTTTTTTCCTTAAGACTCATTCTGTCTACTGAAACAGAAAGAGTTTTAAAGTGGGCATGAATGAGAGGCAGATGACCCATTATGAGACTATCTATCCCAAGAGTTATCTGATTTACAACAGCATATGAACACATGGAGTGTAGTGCTTTAAAACAGTAAGCAGTTGTTAAATAGAAAAGATGTCACAATATACTAAAGACTAGGCAAAGCCCCCATAATTTTAACAGCTATCTAGAATTATGTAGACAACCACTAAAATGTTCAGATTTGCTTACTGGAAATTGAAGAGAGACTTCCAAAATAACATAACCAGGAGTTACCAATCTATATTTACATACCATTGTCCCCTTCCATCAGGCTTATATCATTCAGATATACAATGTTGGTGAAGGCCTCCCTCCTCCTCTCCAGCTCCAGGCAGAGTGTAAGGTATCCAGGCCAGAACCTTACAGGAAACAAAGTTGATAAAAGGATTAAGTACAGTGAATGTCTATGAACTGCACTGTCCATATTAAACACATGTCCTTTAAAGCTTAAAGTAAGTTGTTAAGATAATCTTTTGTGTTTGTTTCTGTTGAGACAGGAGTTCACTGTGCATGCCTGGCTGTTCTGGAACTCACTCTATAGATTAGGCTGGCCTCAAACTCAGAGATCTGCCTGTCTCTCCCTCTTAAGTGCTGGTATTAAAGGCATCCACCAACACCACCTGGTTGTTAAGGCTTTTTATTTATTTCAAAAAACTTTAAAATGTGTTATGTCTATGGTTATTATGCCTACATGTATGTCTGTATATCACATGTGTAAATGTTTCCCAAGGAGTCCAAAGTGGGTACTGGATCCCCTGGAACTGGAGTTACAGACAGTTGTGAGCTGCCATGTGAGTGCTAGGAATTGAACCTGTGTCCTCTAGAAAGTTCTCTTAATCCATGAGCCATCTTCCCATTTCCAAGATTTACTTATGTATGTACACATTTACTCATTGCTTTGTTTTATTTTCAAGTTAGGGTTTTTCTGTGTAGTCCTGGGTGTCCTGGAACTCACTTTGTAGACCAGACTGGTTTCAAACTGGCAAAGATCTACCTGTCTCTGCCTTCCAAGTGCTGGGAATGAAGGTGTGCTTCACCACCACCCAGCCCAAGATTTATTTTTATATTGTGTGTATAAATGTTTCTCTACATATATGTTTGTGCATAATCTACAAGCCTGGTGTCCCCAAAGGCCAGAAGAGGGCATCAGATCCCTGGGAACAAGATGCTTAGGAATTGAACCTAGATCCTTTGTAAGAACAGCAAGTGTTCTTAATCACTGAGCCATCTCTCCAGGCCCTAAAAGTCGGTTTTGTAACTAACTTAAAGTTGGTGATCCCATGTGGCTAGTGGCTAGGGAGCAGTGCAGTAGAATATTTCCACTATCACGTAAATTTCTACTCAACAGCTTGATCTAGTGCACTTAAGAAACAAAGCTTTATGTACTTTGCAAGTAGTTTTGCTTTTCATTTTATTTTATGTATATGACTGCTTTGCTTTTGCCTGGTGCCTAGGGAGGCTAGAAGATGTCAGATCTACTGGAATTGGAGCTACAGATGGTTGTGCTGAGAATCAAACCTGGATCCTCTGGAAGCACAGCCAGCACTCTTGTCCCTGAACCATATCGCTAGCCCCTACTTTTTAGGTTTTACCATTCAATTAAAAAAGAGAATGTATCTCCAAACCTCACTCCATGTACTTTGTCCTTGGTGCGCTCCCTAGTCACCAACCCCTCATCCTGCAACAATTCACACAACCTCTTCGTGCAGTCTTTCCTTTTTCATGAATGACACTAGAAATAATCTCCAGAAAGTCTAAAAGGGGGTCAGAGATGGCTCAGCAGGTTACAACACTTGCTGCCAACCTTGACAACCCAAGTTCTATTCCTGAGATCCATATGGCAGAAGAAAATCAACTCTAAAAGGCTGTTCTCTGACATCCACACAGATGACATAGCATGCACCTGTCTCCTCCCCAAAATTAAATTAAGAATAAAACAAATTACTATTTATTATTTAAGTCCAAAAGAGTATCTCATGATCTCACCACCTGCCACCTCGCCAATCTCAACCTGATTATGAATGAATAAGTAAAAATCACATAGTTGCCATTGCATCAATTCTCTCTAAGAGAAAAGAAAGACAAAGGTCCCTCTAAAAGGTACTGCGCTTCCAGTGGAGCAGAAGCCAAAATCGCCAGTGACTAACCCTCTCATTAGCAGTGTCAGTTTTTCATCATCTTTCTGCTTCCCTCAACAGACGCACCTCACTCCACCGCCTTTAGGACTGACTCCCAATCTCCCTTCCTCCTGAGCCCTTCACCAGGAAACTAACTCTGATCTCCCCCTTCTTGAAAATCTTTTATCTATTTGAAACCCTTGTGGAATAATATGCAACAGCCTGAGAACTGGCTCTAGCAACTAGGCAGAGGGAATACAAAATACTCACGAGGGCCATTCTCTTCTTACAATACAAAAATAAAATTTCAAGTAAAGATAATGGTTAATATCACTTAATACATAGGGCTGGAGAGATGGCTCACGAGAGTAAGCTCATTGGCTGCTCTTGCAGAGGACCTGGGTTTCATAGTTAGCACCTACATGGTGGCTCAGAACTGTCTGTAACTCCAGTCCCAGGAAGTCCTGATACCCTCTTCTGGCCTCTGTGGTGCACAGACACTCATGCAGGTAAAATGGCCATACACAGAAAGTAAAAATTTTAGTATTAAAAAGGTACATTTACATGTAAGTATCAAATTGAATCCTTGCATAATAAAGTACACCAAGTAAAGAACCTTAACTAGAGGGTTCTTTCTGGATCCCAACCTCCATTCCATCACCTGTCAATGTCCTCACTTACCCATAGGACCTACAGATGTCAATCATTTTCTCTTTGGTTGTGAAGTCTGCAGGAAGTTTAATCAGAAGAAGGATCAACTGACTATAACCCCAAGAAAGCAAGTGTGAATGGGGCCTATGAAATGAAAAAGTACAGCAAATTAGATAGAAACAAACACTAGAAAGTACTTTGTAATCATCTAATAGGTAAGACTACAGTTGAAGCATATACCATTATTATAGTTTCCAAATATTTCTGTTTTGCTCTTTAAAAAATGAAAAATAGCTACTTTTTTTATAACTTGTTCATCTCAAAATGAAACAAAAAAAAAAAAAATAGAAATAGGGACCAGGGGTGTAACTCATTGCTAGAATGCCTGCCTACCATGCAGGTACTGAGTTTAATCCTAATACCAATTTAATTTGATTTAATCCTAATACCTTGATTCCATCACCTACAGCCACTGCTGTCTTCCTAGGGTTTTGCCGAGGAGTAAGTCAAATAACACAGGCATGTTACAAGAGGCAGTGTTCTCAAAAGGCTTCCCTTAGAAGAGAACACAAGACTGTTTCTGAGGCATGTACTGGTGTTCATCTTTTTTTGTTTTAGATTCAAATCCTCAGGGAACATTTACAAATTAATTGATGCATCTTTTGAATGAAATTACACAGAGTTTTTTTTCTTTAAAATGGGCTATCCAGGGTTCACTGTGGGTCTCCAAAAGAGCTGCAGGGAGGCCAGTTTAATTATTTGCAAGTAGGGAAGCTACTTGCAAACTTTTACATGGATGTTTATTTTTTTTTAAAGGAACCATGAGATTCTTACAGGGTCTGTAACCTCCAGTGTTCAGAACCACTAGGATGTACATGGATACACAATCTCATTACTCCAAGTACTTGGTTAAGTTTTTTTGCTGCTGTTCCTAAGCTGAGCCCGAACGCTAAAATGGAAAATAACAGTTCCATTTCAAAGGAATGTTCACAGAGGAGGATTGCTTACCTGGGATGTCCTTCATCATCTAGTGTACTTGTGCTTGGTGGAGCATCATGGGACACTGCCAAAAGCAGCCAGTCAAGTCTTAAAGACTCTGGTTGAAGAAGGAACTCAAGGAAGGATGGCCTGAGAACAAGGTGGGGAGAAAAACAAAGTGTGTGGATGTAAAGAAAACAATAAAGGATAAATTAAAATCTCCTCTACCACAACAGCTAGAAACGCTAGGAAGAATGTCTATCTACTAAATGAGTGACCTAGCTGAAAGGTGATAAGGAAAACGCTAGAGGAAGGTAGGGAAAGGGAATGGGGGGGAAGAGAGAGAGAGAGAGAGAGAGAGAGAGAGAGAGAGAGAGGAAGGAGGGGGAAGCCTGTGTGGCAAACAAAGAGAAAGGAAGAAGTTTCCAGTCTATAACTAAACAGGAATTTACTGCCATGGAAAGGACAAATGATGGCCCAGCCTAAAAGAAAAGAAACAGGAAGAGAGATCCACTCCCAAAATCTGGGCTACCACAGGCTGGGGAACAAGAATCTTGTCTGAAGCCCTGCTGAGTCAAGAATTTATTTTCTTTCTGAAGATTATTTTTATGTGTGTTGCCTGCATGTATGTGCACCTTATGTATGTATTACCCTCAGAGGTCACTTGTTACCAGTCTGTTGTAAGTTGTCATATGAATGCTGGGAATGGAACCTGGATCCCCAGCAAGAGCAGCAAGTGCTCCTAACTGCCTAGCCATCTCTCCAGTATGAAGGACTTAATTTTACACTGAAAACCTGAGACTCTCTCAGAGAGGAGGTGACATGTAATATATGTGCATTTGCAGTGTATACTGTACAGGGGAGGTGAAGTGTATGTTGAGAGGGTATAAAACGGTCCAAATCCTCATCTTCCATAGCAGATGCCTCAACCTCCTGATAGCTGGCAGTGAAAATGTGACAACTGGTGACACTATAGAAACAGAGACTACCCAGGACTTCTCACCACTGATCTTCAGGCCTTGACTTCACCAGGCTGTCCAGATAGGCCAAAAACTGAGCGGGATGATGACGGCAGAGCTGTGCAATGTCGGAAGGCAGGATGGATGGATAAAACTTGATGAACGCTCGAAGGGCAGACTCCCCAAATCTATCATACAATCTGCATTTAACAACAGCACATCAGTCTCCAACTTCAATGCCATATGATTTGGTTATACTATGAAATCATTAGAAATAAAAATAAGGGCTGGAGAGATAGCTCAGAGGTTAAGACCACTGGCTACTCTTCCAGAGGTCCTGAGTTCAATTCCCAGCAACCACATGGTGGCTCACAATCATCTGTAATGAGGTCTGGTGCCCTCTTCTGACCTGCAGGCATACATGCAGGCAGAACACTGTATACATAATATAAATAAATCAAAAAAAAAAAAAAAAAAAAGGAAGGAAAGAAGGGAAGAAGGAAAGGAGGAAAGAAAGAACGAAAGAAAGAAAGAACGCAGCACAGCCCGGCAGTGGTGGCATACACCTTTATTCCCAGCATTTGGGAGGCAGAGGCAGGCGGATCTCTGTGAGTTTGAGACCAGCCTGGTCTCCAGAGTGTTCCAGGACAGCCAAGGCTATCCTGGAGACAAGAAACCCTGTCTCAAAAAACAAAACAAAAGAAAAATTATTTTATTTTATTTTTGGTTTTTCAAGACAGGGTTTCTCTATGTAACAGTTCTGTCTGTCCTGGAACTCACTTGGTAGATCTGCTTGCCTCTGCATCCCAAGTGCTGGGATTAATGGCATGACCCATACCCAGCAAAAAATAAATATTCTATTACGATCCTTCACAATATACAAATGAGTCAAATTTTAGATACTAAGCCATAAAAACATTACAGATATTTAGGTTCCCAAAAACAAGAAACAGGACAACCTACCGGGTGGCAAATGCAATTAACAAAGGACTATCTGAAGGGATTGAACCATCCAGTAACTGTAGGCCTGTGGGCAGATCTCCTTCTTCTATTTCTGTGTATGCAGAATTAGAACGTGCAATTTCTGAAAAGAAAAACAAAACAGTCTTTCCCTTCACCTCTTGGCTGTAAATATTCTTGGACACATTCATTCAACAGATTTCATCACACCCTAATGTCAGCCATTAGGCCAAGGCCCCAAAATTTATTAACCATTGCAGGAAACAAAAACAAAACCTGTCAGGATATAATCTCAACTTTTCAAGACCATCAGGTAAAATCGGAAAATAAAACTCACTAGAATTTGTAGTTGTGTGTGTCTGTGTGCTGGTCTCTTCTGAGGTCAGAAGAGAGCATCAGATTCTTTGGAGCTGGAGCTGTAAGCCATCTGATATGAATATGGATGCTAGGGATCAAACTCAGGACCTCTCCAAGAGTAGCAACCACTAGTACTTAGTTTCTAAGTATCCTCTTCAGACTCAAATACTGAAATTTTCAGAGGACAAAAGAACAAATAGTGACTATATAAGACACTATTATGTCTGAAAAAGTAAGTTTATAGGGCTGTGTACCATATATGTGTGTGTGTGCATGTACCATATATATGTAGCATATATATGATATATATGTATATATAAAATCACAATCCACATCTCTATTACCAATGCCAAACTGCTCAGTTTTTACAGAACCAGTATTCCCATGTCATCTCTTAAAACTAAACCTGATGTAAAAATAAAACCAAAACAGAAAATATAGTAGACAAGCAAATATTCATCCTAAGAAGGAAGAATGGACTTTGGGGAGCAGCCAGAAATCATTTACAGCCAAACTTAGTGAATGAAGCAAGTGGCAATCTAGTAAAAAAACCTTTCCTAGTTTAAAAAAAGAAAAAAGATCAGGTGTGGTGGCACACACCTTTGATCCTAGCACTCAGGAGGCAGAGGAAGGTAGATCCATGAGTTTGAGGCCACCCTAGTCTACACAGTAAGTTCCAGGACAGCCGGTGCTCTGTTGAAAAATCCTGTCTCAAAAAAAAAAAAAAAAAAAAGAAAGAAAAAGAAAGAAAGGAAGGAAGGAAGGAAGAAAGGAAGGAAGGAGGAGGTGGGGGAGGAGGAGGAGAAGAAGAAGAAGAAAGAAAGAAGAAAAGAAAAAAGGATATGACTCTCACTTAAGGGGGAAAGGAAGAGACAATCTTTGTGCCTTTTTGAGGCTTGCTCTGAGATAGAGGGACTGTTTTTTTAATAGTGTAGGACAAAGGGCCTAGGGATAAATTATTGTTCACTGAGACACAATGTTCTGGAGCTTGGTAAAGTTGCTACATTTAGATTTTGATTTATACTTTCATTTGATTCCCTTTTTACTTATCTGTGTTTAGTAAAACCTGAGTGTGACTTGTTTACCAGTTATACAATGCTATGTGTCTTGGAATCTAATTTCACTTACTCACTTTGCTTTCAGATTTGACAACTACATTTTCACTGACATTTCAGTGTGTTAGTCTACAGATGATCCCAGGGTAGGAGTTGAGTGGGGTTGGTTGTTTGTTTGTTTTTGTTGTTGTTTTAAGATATAGTAGTTAAAACAAAATAAAGAAGCAGAAACTTAATCCCAGTGCTGTGGGCCAGTGTACCTGTCCTGCTCTATAGAAAAAGGAGTTAAGCTTGGTACTATAAGACATGTTTCTCCAAAGCTGAAGACAGTTTTCAAATGTTTTTACTTGTATTTTGTTCTTGGTACAGCTGAATGTTCAGGTTGTTTTCAAAGTTCTGATATTTTAAACAATAAAAATGAATTCATTCAAAAAAAAAAAAAACAAGGGGGTATGACTTTAATGTAACATGAGTTTCTTTTGTTTTGTTTCCCCAGTAGTTTTCAATGGTCTTAAGACACATAACCAAGAATAGTTTCAGATCCTGCCTTCCTTCAAGAAAACAAATAAGCAGCTTGTTCTGATGTGGGGAAAGAAGATCTCTCTCACTATGGCAAGAGTGCAAACAGGCACAGTCGCTATTACAATCAATGTGTAGGTTTCTCACAAAGCTGGAACTGGATCTGCCATATGACCCAGGTGCAGCACTGCTGGGTATTCACCCTCAAGATCCCAGGTCAACACACCAGAGATGCCAGCTTATCCATGCTGTGGCTACAGTGTTCACAAAAGCTAAGAAAACAAACAAGCCTGTATGTCTATCAGCAAATGAATGGATTAAAAAAATAGGGTGCATATAAAGATGGTTTTTTATGTGGTCCTAAATGAAAAAGAAATCATGACGTCTGTGGAAAAACAGATGCAACTGGAAATCATGTTAAACAAAATAACCCAGACTCAGAAAAACACCTCTACATTTGGTAATGGCACCTGATAATTACCTTTCAGTCCTTCAACAAAAGTGTCCCAAACACAAGGGTTGTTGGTGTAACTTAGTTTGATACTGTCCCTTGCTCTTTTCAAGTCCAGGAGAAAAAAATACTTCTTTAGGAAACGACAAGCCAGGATCTCAGGAGAGAGCTGCTGTAAAGTACGGTCCACATGTCCACCACCTATGCTTTCCACTACGGAAGTCAATACATTCAGTTCCAAGCACAACGTTGTCAATTCCATCAGATCTTTCTGAAGACTGTTGGCTATAGTGAATGGAGAATATACTCGAAAAAAATCACCCAAGGGTTCACTAAGGCTGCTTACAGATTCACAGGCTATATGACCACCAGTTTCTTCAGTGCCTGAAGAATTCCTTTTTTCTTCTTCACTATCTTCATCTAACACTCCCTCTTCTGACTCACTAAGGAGGTGCACATCCAGGTTCAATTTCACAGGTAGACTGCTGGTACTGGAAATGCCAGTGAAGTCCTTCAAGGCAAATGTTTTTTCTAACTGTGAAAGCCACTCACGTAAAACTGTTCTTAGTGACTTGGGTTCAAATAAAACCAGAGGGTCCAGTAACTTGGTCCTATACAAAATAGATGAATGTAAAATTGTCTCATTTGTTTTTAAAAAAAAATAGATTATTTCAGTTTAAACAAACCTAACTGATAAAGCATACTCATCTGGATTAAACTCATCTGGAATAAATGTAGCTTTTTTTTTTTTTTTTAAGATTTATTATATATACAGTGTTCTGCCAGCATGTATGCCTGCATGCCAGAAGAGGGCACCAAATCTCATTACAGATGGTTGTGAGCCACCATGTGGTTGCTGGGAATTTAACTCAGGACCTCTGGAAGAGCAGTTGGTGCTCTTAACCTCTGAGCCATCTCTCCAGCCCCCAATAAATGTAGCTTTAAATGACAATTATCCCAACAAGACAGACAACACTGACTCTGAAGTATATTACTGATCATTGAACATCCACTGCAAATGAGGCTAACCCTGGCCTAATAGTCAGGACCACTACTGATTCTGTCCAAAGACCACCCCACTCACTATAAACCTTCCCCACTCACATTGCTTCTGCTGTCACTGCTGTGAGTTCTTGAAGCCTGTCTTCTTCAAGAAGTTGGCTAATTTCTTTCTCCCTAGAAAAGAAAAAGAAGTAATCCTATTCACAAGCATTAGGGATAACCAAACTTTCTTAGACCAAGACTTCTACTGCTTACTAAATGTCAAGTGTGCCACATGTTACACTGCCCATTATCTTCATCAAATATTCCATTTTTATTCATTAGCAATGGGACATCCTGGAGCTGACAGGCAAGACAGCATTAATGACTTAAAGTTACAAGCTAGTCAGAAGACCTAGGACAGGACCTGGATTTCAGTCATCTCCTCTTAATATAACACTCCTCCAACATTCCAGGAAAGAAACAAGATGTCAGAGAGGGAGAAAGGTAGATGAGGTAAGAAAGTGAAACCCTGCACCCAACAGAATTAATTCTCTGTAAACTGTGAATTTGCAGTTTCTGAGCTATGCCCCTGGAAGTTCCCCTAGCATTCCAGACTCAGACTTACTCAGACTCAGACTTACTCAGAGTCTTCCTCCAGAGGCCGGGTATCTGCAATCACTTCCTCTTCATGTACTTGGTCAGCATCCTTGGATTCTAATGTCTCCTTCAGCTCCGGGCTTGCGTGAAGGGTGCCAATTTTCTCAGTAGTTTTACGCACAAAGCTAGAAACACTGAAAGTCAAATACCAAAAACCTAACATGAAAATATATCAACACTGTCAAGACTGAAAAATATGGTTCCTGACATTTCTATGTTTCCATTAGTACTACAAAACCAGCTTGAGACAGACTGCTCATAACAATTTCTCTAATCAACCACAATTCACATGAGGCACATAGAAACTTAGAATAAAGTGATTTTTCATTGTGTTTATAAAACTGTCCTGAGGCCAGTGAGTCAACGCTAAAGGGAAGGGCTCTAATCCAGTTATCTCTTCAATGTAATGTCTCCTTCTGCTCAAGTAAGTTAAGCATGTGATCATCAGCCACTTCCTGAATAACAAGGAACAGACCCTTCTACAAGAAGAACGTGTACCCAGCAAGACTGGAGCAAGTAGCTAGGCAGAAGATACATCTTCTCTCTCATTCTCAGTGCTAAGATTGGTTCATACACAAACTAGAAAGAATTCTCAAAAATCTCCAATGTGGGGCTGGAGACATGGCTCAGCATTAAAAGTACTGGCTGCTCTTCCAGAGGACCTGCATTCAATTCCTAGCACCCACATGGTGGCTCACAGCCATCTATAATAGGATCTGATATCTGATGCCCTCTTCTGGCATGCAGGTATATACATGGAGCACTCATATATAAAGTATTAAAATATAAATAATTTTTTTTAATCTCCAATTCTCCCACATGTGGTGGTATGTACTCAGGAGGCAGAGGCAGATGAATCTCAGTGAGTTTGAGACAAGCCTAATCTACATATGGAGTTCCATGCAAGTTAGAGCTTGAGGACATGTCTCAAGAAGGGGTAAAAAAAAGTCCTCCAAATTAACCTATTAAGTGACAAAGGATCAAGAAATGACTAGTAGGCCAGCAAGATACCTTAGTGGGTATAGGTGCTTTCTACTCTTTTAGAGAACCTGTATACACATGTATACACAAATTCATACAACTTTACATACATCAATACAAATAGATAAATTTTCACATACACACACACACACACACACACAAAAAAAAAAAAAAAAAAAAAAAGCCAGAGAGAGGCTGAGCAGGTAAAGGTACCTGCCACGAAGCCTGACAAGATGAGTTAGATCCCTAGAATCCACACAGGAGAAGGAAAGAACTGATGAGACAAATTTGTTCTCTACTGTCACATGGACACACTATGACATACACCAGGGATGAGGCGAAAATATTTAATTTTGCTATGTCTAGGGTGTGAGAAAGGGCTCATCTACAACTTAAATACTCAGCAACCCAAATGAAGAGGAACACTCTGCCCGCCCCACCCCCCCACCGCAAGATTAAAAGTAGAAATTAGCAGGTTATTAGAGAAAATAACTTGAGACCTTCTTTTGAATATTTAAAATGTCTTTTCTTTCTCAGTATGTCATGTAACAACTGAAGCAAAATGAGAAATGGAATTAAATGACACGACTGGGTCATTTACCTTTCTTTAACAGCCTGAAGGGACACCAGAGGAGATGGAGAACGAAATGGCAGTGGAATGCTGAAGGGCAGAAAAGCTTCATTCTTATCTGTCTCAGACATCACTAGACCATGGGGGACATTGTCTAATAAACAGAATCAAGAAAAAACAAACATCTAATCACATGGAATTTTTTTACAAATCTAAACAAACTCAGAAATGAATAAACCAAAGGAAATGAAGGATTCAATAACAAAATCGTAACTGACCCAGATACAAATGAGCACAGAACACGGGTTTATGGGATGCATGGATGGTCCACATGAAACACTGAGCCAAGTACCTTTTATCCAACTACTAAGCCTGTATCCCCAAAAGCCACAAAGGTAGTTTACAGTTTCTACTAATCTCTTCTCAACAGTTCAGTCACAGGAATGCTGGAACATTGAAAAGGGAAGGCAATGGCTCCCCAAACTGGAGCTATCTTTCATTCCTAGTGGAAAATAATGTGGTTAGTGAGGGCAAAAAAATCTTTATTATTTTGGCTAATGATGAGTCTTAACCTGTCCAGCAGTTTGATGCATGACCCAAATTAGGCACTTTACAAATGTTAGTCCAAACAAGAAATTACAAACAACCTACACATCACTGTCTTTTAGTGATCAGCAGATCTTCACAGAAAGCAACTGTTCCTCATCAGTGACCAACAAGAAACACACTCATTACCTTCATTTCTGTTTGCAGCACAGACCTGCTCTGACTGCTCTTCTTCCTGGGGTGAGGCAAACTCTTTAAGTCTTTCATCTTCTGAGAAGGTCTGACTGTGAAGGGAGCAAGAATCTTCATCGGACTGACTGCCTCTTCTACTACTGATGATCCGATATATACCAGAGTCCAAGATGCTAAAACTTTCCTGAAAATGAAAAGAATTCCCTTCAAAATCAAGGTTGTCCTGTGTAACATAACACATCTTTTTCAGAATAATACTAACACTAGAGTCGAAGGCCAAAAACAACAACTACAGCTCATCAGCACACAGAAGTCAAGAGTGTGGGCACCTAGCATGGGGTATTACCCACCATATCTTCAGCTTGTCTTTGGAAAACAGCCAGTGAGAAAGGGAGTTGAAATGAGACAGTCCTGAGCAGCACTGAGACCTCAGGTGACATGAAACATCTGAAATCTCAGGTTAAAAACCACCTCACCTAGACAGGAAACTATGTGAAGAACATCTGGGAACAGCAGGTAGTAAACAGTGACATAAACAAATGCAGCCTCAAACATACTTGACTTTCCTTAACTGCTCATCATGGAAAAAACCTCCCCTGCTCCATTTTGGATTCTAAATGTGTCCATATACTGATGCCCAATCTATGTTGCAACTGGGAGGTGATAAAGCTTCAGAGGTGGGGCTCAGTGAAAAGTTAGGTTACTGGAGGTATGCTCTTGTATGGGATACTGGGACCCATCCCTTCCTTGTTTTACTCCTGGCTTCCTGGATGTCATTAGGTGAGCAGATTTCTTCTACCATGTTCTCCTTACCAAAGGTCTAATAGACAATACCAAACTACACACAAAAATAAGCTTTCCCTTCTTACAAATTGTTCAGCTCATGTAGTCTGACAAAGTAACATAAAAAGCTGACCTCTCCATGCCACTATACTGAAAAAAGTACTACGTGGAAAGCAAGATGGATCCTTGGACTTACTTATTTCCCTGCAAGATCCAAAAACTCTTACAGGAGTTACTGGTCTGGCAAAATGACTTAATGGGTAAGGCACCTGATGCCATGTATGATGACCTGAGTCCAATCCTATGACTCACATGGAGGAAGGAAAGAAATGATTCCTGAAAGCTGTCCTCTGACCTCCATTTGTGTTTGCTAGCATGCGTATGTCCCCTCCCCAACAACACACACATACTAAACAATTAAGTTAAAAAGAAAAGCACTTACATGTGATGAAATGGAGCTTCTTCTACTACTGCAAGCTGAATCCAAAGGCTCAAATTTGAAGATCAATTCATCCAGTTGAGAAATTAGTTCACTGTAGGTTGTAAGGTCCAGCTGAGATTTCAAATGCTCTAATTTATCTGTGGTCAATGTTTTTCTTGTCTAATAAAAGGATAAGAAAACCCCAACAAGAACAGCTTACTATTTGTAACTGTATCCATATCCAAACAGCCAAAGTGCTAAAGGTGTCCACACAAGAATAAGCCTTCACGGTGTTTTAAGGTTTAGTTAGCTGGCTAGACTTAACCAAAACATATTATATATCAAAAGTTATTATATATCATATTATATATCAAAAGAGATATCATATGCACAATCATCCTCCTTAAATCAACCTCTGAAATTAAAACACATTTGTAAGCTAATCTTTGTTTGTTTGCTTGTTTTCAAGACAGGGTTTAGAGACCCTGTGTAGCCCTTACTATCTTTGAACTCACTTTGTTGACCAGGCTGGCCTCGAACTCACATAGATCCACCTGCTTCTGTCTCCTGTGCAACTACACCCAGATTGGGTATCTTCTTAAAACCAAAAATTACACCAGCTTTATTGCCTTCACCCACCCCCAGATACAACTGCCATGCTTTGGAAATTTAACTCTACATGCATAAGTCATACAGAAAAGTTAATAAAGATAAGCAACTTTATAACAATCCTGAAAGCTAGGATGGTTTGACCAACCCATAAATAACATTCACAGGTAAATTCTAACTCACTCTGCTGGTAATGATAGAATTTTGGAAGAGACAGCATGTGCGAGCAGCCAAGTCCCACAGGCCTCTTCTTAACAGGCGTTCCACACAGCGCTCCACAGACAACAGGGAAAGATGTGAGATTTTCCCATTAAAGTGTAAACAGAACAACTCATTCTTGAAGACAGCTACATCCTGAATATCTATTTAAAAAAAGAAAAGAAAAGAAAAGAAAAGAAAAGAAAAGAAAAGAAAAGAAAAGAAAAAATACAAGGGTGAATAGACAAGACATTAATCAAACACCTCTTGCTCTTATTGTAAGGCCTGGGCTGGGGAAGCAGCTTAGTAATACGGTTCTTACCCTAAAACATACAAGTCCCCACTCCTGATCCCCAGAAGTGGAAGGGAAATACTCCCATTTTTACTCGGGTTACCATATTTATAAAATCTTAAACAAGATTTAGCTTGCCAGGCAGTGGTGGCGCACGCCTTTAGTCTCAGCACTTGGGAGGCAGAGGCAGGAGGATTTCTGTGAGCTCGAGGCCAGCCTGGTCTACAGAGTGAGTTCCAGGACAGCCAAGGCTACACAGAGAAACCCTGTCTTACAGAAAAAGATTTGGCTCAGTGGAATTTCATTTCTTTTTATATTTGTACTTTAATGAAAAAAATCATATTTAGACACTTTTCTAAGATTAGAAAAGAAAGAAACACAGCTTTCTAATCTAAAATTCTTAACATGAATAGATTTTAACAAGTATATAAATGAATGAATCACACATGAGGAGATACCTGTTATAGAATATTATTTTAAGGCATGTTACATTTGTTTATGCTATGGAACATTTGTTGAATGATGCAAAGATGTGTTACATTCCTTTACATTGCATTTGTTTAATTCTGTGAAGCTGTGATTCTTTGCCTGTCTAAAATACCTAATGGTCTAATAGAGCTGAACAGCCAATAGCGAAGCAGGAGAAAGAATAGGCAGGGCTGGCAGGCAGAGAGAATAAATAGAAGAAGAAATCTAGGAGGAGAAGAGAAAAGAGCAAGAGAACATTGGGAGGAAGATGCTAGGGTCTAGCCACACAGCCAGCCACAGAGTAAGAAGAAAGAAAAGATAGAAATAGAGAAAGGAAAAAGTCCAGAGGCAAAAGATAAACCAGGTAATTTAAGTTAAGAAAAGCTGACTAGAAACAAGCCAAACTAAGGTCAGCATTTATAGTTAATAATAAGTCTGTGTGTTTTTATTTGGGAGCTGGGTGTCGGGCCCCCCAAAAAGCGGAAAGAGCAAACAGTAAAAAGAGTAAATCAACCAACTACAGGTATCTGTCTTGGCTGAACACTTTGAAAGAAGTTAACATACTAGCTTGCAAGGGACATCCTCAACCGGGGGAAAAAAAACACCTATAAGAAAAAAACACCGCCTGGGTGGTGATGGTGCATGCCTTTAGTCCCAGCACTCGGGAGGCAGAATCAGGCGGATCTCTGTGAGTTCAAGGCCAGCCTGGTCTACTAAGCTACACAGAGAAACCCTGTCTTGAAAACTAAAAAAGAAAGAAAGAGAGGGAAGGAGGAAGGGAGGGAGGGAGGGAGGGAGGGAGAAAAGGAAATCAATGTGGATCAATAATGACTCCCTTCCTCTCTCTGGAGAAAAGACCACAAAAGTCAAAGCCAAAGCACTCTTAGCAGCAATGCTAAACTTTCCCATATTTCTGATTTTAACCACAAGTACAGGGAGGGACTGATTTTCTGTCGGTCACATACAGTGACTATTCTCTGCATTTTCAACTTCTCACATTATAAATTAATCATAATACAATTAATTTTCATACACAACTAAGAGACTAAAAGTTACCTAAGAAAGAAAAATATAATTACCCTTGACTTCACTCCAAAGAAGAACCTGAACATTCTGAGGGATGAAAATATAAATTCCTTTTTCTGTCCAAGTCAGCACACAGTGTTCACTAGACAATAAAATAAAAGAGGTCAAAAACTAGTAAACAAACAAACAAAAAAACCTCATGCTTACTAGAGCATAGAACTTTACAATTCTGTGGACTCAATCTCTCATTGACTACTAAAGTAAAATCAGACTGTGCCAAGAAAATACAGCAGTGGCCCAGGTGATCAATCCTTACCATCTCCTTTCAAAACCCAATAAAAACATAGCATCAAATGGAGACAAACTGGGAAAATTTAGACACAAACACAAGAAAAAGAAAAGGCTGATATCTGAAAAAAAAAAAAAGGCTATTAAGAAGGACTTATGTGACCCTTATTCATCTTCTCAGACAAAATAGACACTCATTTAAACATTCCAGCAAGTTACAGTCAATCAACTCAGGAGTCCTTATCAGGAAAGGCAAAATTCTGACTTTATCAGTGTGTGTAGGTGACTAAGGGTTTAGAACACCTGGCCATTCCCATGCCAGACGTATTATGAAGGGCTCTGGCTGTATTATCTAATGAGGCCCATCAATCTACAAGTGTTCTTTTGTCAGAGAAATGAAATCACATGCCAAGGTCATTCAGCATGAAAGTAGAAGACCTCATATTTAGACTGCAGAGTGCAGCCTCCACAGTTGGAGCTTCCCTCTTCAACTCACAGAATTTTCTCCCTCATTTACCACCAGAAACTCACTCCCTATTTCCTGGGGTCCTGGTTAGGTGACTTTACAGAATTCTCAAAAAGCAACAGATTCCCTAACTATCATAACCAACAATCCGTCATCATCCCCCATCTTCTTGATCCGCAGGCAGAGAACTGATCCTTTTTCAAGGCTCTTACTTACAAGGTTGTACACATCCCTGGCTCTCCACCTGCCTCCTCTTTTGCTGCTTGTCTTTTTCTGTTCCACTTTACTTGCAAGTGTGAGTGTATCTATATATGTCACTTGCTTTCTCGTGACTGCCAGGTTTTTAAAAGCACACATGATCTCCTTTCTCCAGGTCAGAGTACTGACCAGCTGCAAATCTCCCACTCTAGCCACTCTCAAAGGGTTAGCAGATCTTTCCTCTGACACTGTCCCACAGTCTAGCACTTCCCCCTGCACTTGGCTATTTCTTATCTACCCACTCACTGCTTCATTGTGCACTAGCTAAAAAGATACATGATCATGAATTTGATATTCAACTTGCAAAATTTACTTTTTAATTACATTTTTTGTTTGGTTATGGTTTTGCTTATGTTTTTTAAGACAGGGTTTCTCTGTGTAGCCCTGGCTATCCTAGAACTCAGAGATCTGCCTGCTTCTGCCTCCTGAGTGCTAGGACTAAAGACATCTGCCACCACATCAGACTAAAAAAAATTCTATTTTTATTTATTTTGTGTGTATGAGTATGGGAATACATGTAACATGAACTCCAGTTCCAGGAGATCTGACACCCTCACAAAGATATGCAAGCAGGCAAAACACCAATGCACATAAAATAAAAATAAAAACAAAACAAAGGAAGAAAAAAGAAAAGAAATAATAACCCAGATGCTGGAAAGATGGCTTAGAGGTTAAGAACATTCTGTTCTTCCAGAGGACCCAAGTTCAGCTCCCAGAAGCTTATAACTGCTGCCAATCCTAGGAACAGGGGATCCAACACAGTATCATCAGACCTCCTTCTGCACCCCAAACACAGGGCAGATACACACACACACACACACACACACACACACACACACACACACACACACCCTAAGTGAAATGAATATAAAAGAAATAGTAGCTTGGATTAAGTAATGGATATAAAGGAGACAGAAGAGCCCATACTTATTTATAATCCATAACATTCTTCATCCTGTTATTCCTTCACTGATAATAAGTCAGGACACTAAAGCTAAAAGAATTGTTTAAGAAGTCAAAGAAAAAATATAAATTAAAAAGGTCAAAGGCTAGGCATTGTGTTGCATACCTTTAATCCCAGCACTTAGGAGGCAGAAGTTGGTAGATCACTGTGAGTTTGAGGCCAGCCAGGACTACACAAAGAAAGTCTGTCTCAAAACAAATAAATTAATAAATGAAATCAAAAAACTGGGCATGATGGCACATACTTATGATCACAGCACTAAGGAAATAAAGGCAAGAAGATTGTCACAATTTCAAAGCCAGCCTGTGCTACAAAGCAAGTACCATGCTAACCAGGGCTATGTAACAAACTTAAATAGTAACAACAACAAAATCAAAGAAAAGAAAGTGACAACAAGGTACCTTCAGAAAATATAACAAATAAGCTGGCAACCATCCATAACTCCAGTTCTAGGATATCTGCAGGCCCCAGACACACATGTGGGTCTATCTCACTTATACACATAAAGTAAATATATCCAAAAATAATTTTTTCTAGTTTTTTTTTAAAGATTTATTATGTATACAGTGTTCTGGCATGTGTGCCTACACACCAGAGGAGGACACCAAGTCTCAATATAGATGGTTATGAGCCACCATGTGGTTGCTGGGAATTGAACTCAGGACCTCTGGAAGAACAGCCAGTGCTCTTAACCTCTGAGCCATTTCTCTAGCCCCAAAAATAATTTTTTTAAAGAATGCCTCTTGGTGAGATTTGAAAGATGTACCAGTAAAAACATCACGGGACACAAATTTGGGGACAGGAATAAACAAAACAGAATAGAAGCAGCTTGCCTGCTCTTATTTTTCAAAAGTGGTCTTCACTGAATGAACTACTGTCTGACGGTCTAATGTGTACCTACCACTGTGATGCTCAAATGGATACTGTTAGTGGCAGTGAGTGAGGGATGGGTGTAGTCTGAAGAAAGGATGTAGAAACAAGTATCTACTCCATGCCACAGCAGTCACAACGGTAAAAAGACATCAATTACTACATAAGCTGAGGAAGCAGAGCATGACCATGGAAGTCCTGGCTTCCTACAGCAAGGGAGGTAAGAGAGCTTTAAATTACTAAATCCAAAGCAACAGTCTACCTGGAGAACCAAGCATGCTCCCAAGAAAGAATACATTATTTTCCCCACCAGGACTGAGGACCAAACCAAGACCTACTTGCCTAGCAAGTGCTCTACCACTGAGCTAAATCCCCAATCTGAGAAAGAATACAATCTCTAACATAGCTAGGTCATAGTGTCATATATCACTCTACACATCACATATTTAACAAATATTTATGAAATGACTACCATCTACCAGATACTATGTTAAGCACTATATACACAACAATGAATAAAGCAGCCACAAAGCTCACATGGAGCTTACTGGTTAAGGGTGGGGGGTATAGTTTATCAACATAAAATTATGAACAGTGATAAATGCTGTGCAAGGAGACTACTAATGGAGGGACTTTTTAATGTTTTATGTAAGTATCAACAAGTAAGTAGTTGCCTTTTTCCAGTAACTTTCAGAATGGCTTGTGAATTTAAGTGTTAAAACAGCTGTAATTCACTTTAAATACCTTGGTATAGATATTGTGACAAGAGTTAATTTAACCTTTGCAGAAAAAAAGTTAATATTTTCACTAAGTTTTAAAAGAGCAGTTAGGCCAGGTGTTAGTGGCGCACGCCTTTAATCCCAGCACTCGGGAGGCAGAGGCAGGCAGATCTCTGTGAGTTCGAGGCCAGCCTGGTCTCCAGAGCAAGTGCCAGGATAGGCTCCAAAGCTACACAGAGAAACCCTGTCTCAAAAAAAACCAAAAAAAAAAAATTGAAAAATAGGCTGGGCAGGGGTGGCACACACTTTAATTCCAGCATTTGGCAGGCAGATCTCTGAGTTTGAGGCCAGCCTGAACTATAGAGTAAGTTCTAAGACAGCCAGGGCTACACATTGAGACCATCTTGAAAAAACAAAACAACAACAAAAACTAAAAAATAAATATAAAAACAAATGCTTCTGGATAAAGAGAAAAAGGCAAAGCAAAAACTTACCTAAGATGTAAGAGTTTAGGGAATGACAAAGACTGGGAGGATCCAACTGTATGATCATACTGAGGCTCTGATCTAGAAGGTAAACAAATCTGCTGACGATTTAATCACAACTTAAAAGTGTACTTTTTGCAATACAGAGAAAATTTCAACTTGAAAACAACTTCAAAAGCCTAAATTACATCTCCCTTTATTCAAGTCATTTTAATCACAAGAAAGACAACTGCTTAAGGACTGTTCTGGTATCTCTAAACCTTTTGATAAAAATTATACCTCACTCTTAAAAGGTATAATCAAATCCTAGACATTCTACAATACTATAGATTTTTAACCCAATGCCTACAGGAAGTCCCATGCAGAGAGTAGCTACCTTGCAGTGATCACAGGGAGAGGTGGCAATGACAAGAGCTTCTTGAACTGGTGTGTACTTAGCACTTCCCCATCAAAGTTCACTTCCCACATCCTGGAGCCTGGGCGTGCACAGTAGATCAAAGGCTGCTGGCTCCCAGTAAATTTTCCGGGAAAAAAACAAGCTCCATATTCTCCATCTCTTTCCTTATTTCCAATTTTCCAAAACTTTTCCCTAATTTCCAGAAACAAAGATCAAATAGGTTTATTTACAAAAAAGAAATGTTAAAAGCAATCATATTAAGGAACTGAAAGTGGCACTACAAATCAGCATGGCCATACAGACACACGCACGCACGCACGCACCCACCCACCCAAGTTTCCTCTTTCTGCTCTGTCAGAAATGTACCAGAAAACAATGGCATGGATTAGTCCAAACAGGGCAGATTACCGTAACCACTCTGTGACAGGAAGCCAAGTTCTTCATTTCAGTTCTTGTTCAACAGAACAAGAGGGCCTGTTTCAGATCCAGAAGGCATTACTGCTAAAAACCACTCCATTCACCTGTGAATCTTACTGACGGCTTTCCAAGTCACTATGTATAACACAATTTGTTGGACATTCCATTTAAGCTTTTAGTCTACCTTTCCAACTGTCTCCAAGACCCTCCCTCACTACAAACATCCAATTAACTCTTTCTTTTCTTAAAATCCAGGTTCTTTTGAAATTCTGTGTCTTGGAACATTCTGCTCCCTTAGCAGTACATGAGTAAGATAAGAGAGCTGAGCTATATGGGATAGAGGGATAATGACCTGCTTGCTTCTTCCTAAAAACTCCTGTTACTTATTCTCTTTTTGTTTCTTGCCTGCTTGGGGTTTTTTGTTTGTTTTGTTTTTGTTTTTGTTTTTTTCCTTTGTTGAAACAGGGTCTCCCTCTATAGCCCAGGCTGACCTATAACTTATTATGTGGCCAGGTTAGATTTGAACTTCAGCAATTAATTCTCTTGCCCCAGCTTCGAAAATGCTGAGATTGCAAGCACAACTTTCTTTTTACAATTGTTTTAGTTGGCAAACAAAACAATGGGTTTCACTCTGACACTTCACACATGTATGTTATGTACTTTGCTTGTAATTACCTCCCCATCAGCCTCTTATTTCTTCTCCTACTAGTTCCTTTCCCCATCTGCTTTGACATCTACCTACTAATCAGATCAAATGATACAGATGCAGTTAAACAAATACATATGATTCTTTAATATACATCTATATATAGTAACTCTAGAATCTTCATGAGGGAAGATATGCAGTGTTTGTCCTTTCCTCCCCTCTAATAATCTCCCTTCTGCTTCAGGTTATGTGCAAATATGTTTTTATTCAAGTCTAGATTCTACATTTGTCTATTTGTTTCCTGATAAGTCTTCTGCATGATATGACTGCATCATTCTCCCTTTGAGAAATGTCCCAGGCTTCCAATTGCTCGATTATCCTCTTCTTATACTCTGGCTCACAGCAAGTACCACATTATACATGGTGATTGAGTCTACTTGAATGGTAGATCATGAATTATGAAAACAGCATCTGGCCCACAGAAAGCACTCAGTAATTTTGTTTTGTTTCAGGCAGGATCTCAGTTGATTAGTTCCCACTTCTATCCTTAAGTGCTGGGATTACAGGCATGATCCAGCTCACTCAGCTCATGACCTCAGGCTGTTGTTGAATGATTTGCTATGTGAATAAACTGTAAGATCATGGATATAAAAATGCTTTGAAATATGCAGAGCACTATAAGAAGTTATAATATTGTTTATTATGCTGCTTATTTGTTGTGTTGCCAAAGAAAACCTTGAATTCCTAATCTTCCTGCCACCATTATTTCAAGTGCTGGAGTTACAGTATGTACCACTAAGCCCAGTTTCAGAGTACCAATTTTTGGAGAATGCCATTTGTTGGATAGAATGTGAGTTTTAAAAAAAAAAAAAAAAACATGTGAATTGTTATTATACTATCCGTGACTGTTCAAACTGAATCCCAGCTAAAAGAAGGGGACAATTCAACATGCTATTTCTGTAGCAGGTCCTAAATTTCTGAAACTCAACTCTAGCTGTAGCCCATGAAACAAACACTCACGGCCTTGTTTATTGCAGAATTCTCACTTTTTTAATGCATGTTTGAAGTTTTGTATAACTTTTTTTTCTATTCATTTAGTTAGTTAGAATGCCATCTCTCTACATAGCCTTGAAAATCACTACCTACATAAGCCCTGCCTCCAGTTCACAGTTCTATCTTCCTCTGTCTCCTGAAATAGGATTAAAGGCATGTATGACCACATCCAGTTTCCTTTATTTCTTTAATTCTAGAAAGGTTTTTCTGACAGTCAGTTTTTAATTTCTTGTTCTATTACTTTATTGTACATTTAATTTCAAATTTTGTGTGTCTGTGTATGTGCCTCTGTGTACACCTGTACCTGTGTGTGTTCATGTGGTGCATGTGTGTGTTTATGTGTTTGTAGGAAGGGGTTGGGTCAGAGCTTAGAAGTTTTCTGTGACTGTGGTTTGCCAACAGCTGCTGACCTCACCAAGATGGATGCATAACAAATTTTTAAAGAAGGAATGATTTTAAGAAATAGGGTAGCCAGCAAACCAGCCAGAACCAACACGAAAAGAACGGCCACTAAACACTTCTGAACATGGAAAATAATATTTGTTTGTTTGTTTTTCGAGACAGGGTTTCTCTGTGGCTTTGGAGGCTGTCCTGCAACTAGCTCTTGTAAACCAGGCTAGTCTCGAACTCACAGAGATCCACCTGCCTCTGCCTACCAAGTGCTAGGATTAAAGGCATGGGCCATCACTGCCGGCCTGAGCCTCGAAAATAGCTAAGGAACTTTGGCAGTGATAGGTAATACTCATTCAAGCTGTTTCCTAATCTGCACTGATATTTCACCTCTAAAACATTCCTTTGTCATTTACTGTACCTATGTCTCCACCTTGAGATTTTAGTGGGATTTTGTCAGCTTCATACAGCCTATAGTAAATCCTAACCCAATTTTGCCCATTAGTAAAATGCCATTAAATAAACAACAAATTTTAAAAAGAGAAAATGAGAGCAGCCTTTCTGACTCCACACACCAAAGCAAGTGCTGGGTGCTCTCATGGAACTTAGGTGATGCCACGGGGTAGGGTTGGTTCACTGATTGCTTGTCTTCATCACCCCCTGGACTGTCTCTGTCTTCTCTTTCTCCTATTTTTCTAATACCAGTTTACATTTAACTGGTTCCTTATCAACATCTACAAAATTACTCAAAGGGTTCTGGCTCTATGACTAGCAGTACTTGACCTGAAAATTCTGAAATTCTATATAGCTAGTGTCATGGTCAGTTGGTATACCTCTCAGTGTCACACAAGAAGGATCGAGTCAGTGAAGACACAAGTAATCTTCCATCCAAATAATCTAACTGAACAACACAGGAGTCGACTGTTGTTATTGTCTGAACAGGAAACATCACAAAGGCAGCAGCTGCCTAAAAGGGGTGTGAGAAGGAAATACATTCACAACAATGCACACAATCTCTTCTGCCTGACCTGTTAAAATACACCAGAAGTGGTGGCACACACTTGTATTCTCAGTTCTCAGGAACTGAAACAGGAGGCCTGCTGTGAGATCAGGCCAGCTCATGCTATAAGACCCTGTCTTGATAAACCAAGAAAATATTTTTTTAAAAAAAAATTCAAAAAGCTTAAAAATAGGGCTGGAGAGATGGCTCAGAGGTTAAGAGCACTGACTGCTCTTCCAGAGGTCCTGCATTCAATTCCCAGCAACCACATGGTGACTCACACCATCTGTAATGAGATCTGGTGTCCTCTTCTGGTGTGCAGATATACATGGAAATAGAATGTTGTATACATAATAAATAAACATAATCTTAAAAAAAAAAAAAGCTTAAAAATAAAGCCAGGCATGGTGACTTACACCCTTAATCTCAGTATTTGGGAGGCAGAGGCAGATCTCTAAGAGTTTGAGGCCGGCTTGATCTACAAGTGAGTTCCGGGACAGCCAGTCTATGTAGAGAGACCCTGCCTCAATAAAATAAATAAATAAATAAATAAATAAGATAGCAGTTAAGAGTACTTGTTCTTGTGGAGGACCAGAGTTCAATTCCCAGAACCCACATTGTTCTTCACAACTTTCCATAACTCCAACTCCAGAATGCACAAGACAGAGAAACACATTTGAGTAAAATACTCATACCTGTACAATAAAATAAATAAAATAAGGCAGAACTTAATTTGTCTATAAGGACATTAAAGTTTCCCTCATTTAAAATTTATGAGGTTGTATGTAGTGGCTCACACCTTTGATCCCAGCATTCAGGAAGGCAGAGGCAGGAGGATCTCTATGAGTTCAAGACCAGTCTGGTCTACCTATTAAGTTCTAGGACAGCCAAGACTACACAGAGAAACCCTGTCTCAAAAAATAAATAAATAAATAAATAAAAATACCTCACCACAGAAATTTCTCAATGTTCTGTTCATCATTATCTATTTGTGAACTTGGAATGAAAAAAAGTATTAGTTTTGAAATATACAAGGGAATTTTCACCTGTTGACAGTATTTCTACTTTTAAATAAAAATAAAAAAGCAAATTAAGTCTGTGTTATATGTAGGGTTTCAATTATATTTTTCTTTTTGGTTTTTTAAGACAGGATTTTTCTGTGTATCCTTGGCTGTCCTAGAACTCACTCTGTAAACCAACTGGGCCTCAAATTCAGAGATCACGAATGTTGGGATTAAAGGCATGTGCCACCACAGCCCCGCTTAATTGTATTTTGAATCAAACATGTATCCAGAATCAAATAACTTTGATGGGTCATGACGGACAAGCCAGAATATTCTGGTATGTCCATTTAGACAATGGAAGTTATATTTCTTCTGCTAGAACTCTACCCTGAAGCAAGTCAGTAAGAAATAAATTCTCCAAGGCTTAGGACATAAAGCAAATAAAATTGTATCCTTCTGTTCAAAGCTCTACAAGCTAACACCTTACATCACAGCACATACACAAGGAGCTAAAGTATTTCCTCACCTTTGCCTGCTTCAAAGTGTTGAGTTTGATGGCAGATACTTTGCCCACATGGTCACCTACAAAGACTCTCAGAACAGCTGTGTCCCAACAGAGGGCTGTAACTTTTCGGCCTTTGTGTTCGGAGGACACATGAATTCGCTCTGGTTTTCCTCGACGTTCTTGATTTAATTGCCAAACAACTACAAGACCTTGACTGCAGGTAAGTTACAGGCAAATTGAATTACCACAAAAAAAGTTACAGCAATGACAAAAAACATACAACTGAATTGCACCATAATATTAACTATATTAAATACAGTGTAAACTCTTGTTCGTAGGGAGAAAAAGGTATAAATCAAAGCAATCACTTCCCTGTTTTGGCCATTAAATAAATAAATTAGGAGAACCTAAATGTTCTAAATCATCTGGTTCCATGTTCTCTCTGTAGTGCCCGGCCGTGTGTGTGTGTGTGTGTGTGTGTGTGTGTGTGTGTGTGTGTGTGTGTGT